GACGGCGTTCAATTCCAAATGGAAGTACGAAAAATTAGCCGTCGTTGTTCGCGTTCCTCAGACGACGCAGAACTTGGTCATTTCACGTTGTTGTTTTGCAGAGGACGGCAAAGAATTGTACAAAGATTTATAACGCACGTGCACAGCTATTGCTTTGCTCATTAAACCTTTTGTTTGGTGACGTTCTCGTTGCCGTCGTCTAAGCTACCTATTAAAATAACCACGCATCGCACCTCATAGTTTCAAAGCTATTCTTTTTGGAATTTATGCCTCAGCGCCAATTTCGTTTGATTTCCCTCATGGACGTTCACCTTTAATGTCTGAAATGTCATATGGCGCCCATTGTCGTCCTTTTCGCGTGTCTTCAAACCATAATCTTTAGTAAAAGTCATCTTGTGTGACACCTGTCACAGGTCTTCCAATGTTTATGTCACGCAGTTTTCACTAACATTCACGGTAGTAGAACTTTAGACTGGGTGAAGATTGAGTTATAAGAGTGATAACGATTCGGTTTGTTACTGTTGCTTTCAGTCGAACGCATGACAGACCCAGCTTTCTACCATTAAAAAAAAGATGCCATACATTTGCAGGAGCCCATTACCCTAACATTTGTCATCTGATCGCTCATTTGATATTGTTTTTTTATTTATTTTCCCAGGTAGATAAGGTGTCAATTAAGAATTAGGAACAATGACCACTACTACCCAACGTCTTGTAGATTACTATCAGTGGGTCATTGAAAATGGCGGTAAGTATTTTAACATTCGTCATTATTATTATTCAGTATTATTACAGTACCTGCTTGCTGGCTTGCCTCCTTGCCCACCTAACTACTTATTCAAACCTACCTACCAACCAACCTTGTTGTTTTCGATCGCTTCTAATCTGGTATGGTTCTTTCTTTTTCACCTGATTTCAGACCCTAAGACTGAAGAATGGCCCATGATTGCCACTCCATGGCCCACTATTTCTCTGGTGGCCATCTATCTGTTCATTGTGAAAGTTGGACCCAAGGTCATGGAGAATAGGAAAGCTTACAGCCTAAGAGAAGTGCTCATAGTCTACAACATGGCACTTGTTGCTCTGTCGGCCTGGATGGTGTACGAAGTAAGTACAGCGCTCGAATCAGTTGTAAATAAGCCTGTTGTTTAAGTTCCTAACCCAGCCGAGCTGCATTGGTTGGCGATTTTCCAAATTTGCCATGTTTTCATCTTGGCAGCGTTTACACTGCGCCGGAGAAACTTGAAAACGAAGCTTTATTTCTACGGTTAGGCCTACCGTCCACACTAAGCCGTCACGAAAACGCTCCTCGAACCGGAGGAATTTGAAAACGCCAGCTTTTCGTTTTCGTGTGGACAGAAAACATTTTGACCGAGTTTTCCTCAAACACAAATCGGAAATAACTGGTGATTGCTGCGTTTTTAAATTCCTCCGGCGTAGTCTTTGCGTGAAGTCAATCTACTGTCCAGCAAATAGGTGTAAATATCGTCAAGAAAGTGAGGAAGTTGTCTCAATGTAGTACGTACCAACGTTTAAGAAATGTGTGACATTCATGCCGGAAATGAGAATGAATATGTCGATTTGAAGCAATTTTGTTCAAAGTTTTGACAGCTTCAGACATTAGTTTTCACCTCCGCTTATTCACAGATGTGGTATGTATAAATGGTTCTTATTTAAGTTGGAAGACATTTGCTAACTAGGGTTTCTTGTTTACTTTACTGTCCAGTTCATTGCCTCAGTCCTGGATATCCCAAACTTCAATCTTCTTTGTGAGCGCGTCCCTTATGTCCGTGATGACCCAAGACAAACTAGGGTAGGTAACTTTTTAGGAACGAAGACTCGTATTTTATGAAACCTCAACTGTTAGTACAGCAAATCCCTCCTCAGCGAAGGATGACCGAATGAAAGAAATGTTCAAGAAAACTCCTTTAAGATTTAGTACTTTTCAAGGTAAAGCCAAGAAATGCGTTTAGAAGTCGAAAAACGTCCAAAATTTCACTTGCGGTGCTCAAGTTTAATAACTTTTCGAACTAAAGTGTAATCTGAATATCATTTTAACACGGGATATAATTGGTGTCAAAAGCGGGTCGGAAGAGATCATTTCCAATAAGTCCTTATCCCTAAGCAGCAGTTAATGATGATTACTGGATTAACTGGTGAAATTGCCAACCGTCTGAATGTTAAAAAGAATCGAGACGAACGCGGAATGTCGAGTGAAGTGTACGATGAATGACATAGAAAAGTACCAATACTGTAGTCTTGGTTTTTGAAATACGCTAAAAGCGCGAATAGAATTCATTTTAATTGTTTTTCCCTTTCTTGTTCTTGTCCACAGCTGGCTCGAGTTTGTTACATTTATTATCTGTCCAAGTTTGTGGAGTATCTAGACACTGTAAGTACATTCTCTTATAATTTCCGGTTGTGCGCGCGCGTAATTTTGTTTAACTTTGTCGACAATTTAAAAGTACGCTTATCTTTGCACAGTACCGTTGATTCGAAGAATATTCGAAGAAAAGGAGAGCCTTTAAGCAATGTTGTGGCTTACAAGTCCGGTTCCCGTAGCGTGCGGCGATTGGAGAATTAAGTTTGTGTTTGTTGTTTGCAGTTCTTTTTCATTCTGCGAAAGAAGAACAATCAAGTTACGTTCCTGCACGTGTATCATCACGCAAGTATGTGTGTGCTGTGGTGGATGGTTTGCAAGTGGATTCCAGGTAAGACAGAAAAGAGCACGGGAAGGATAACGGACAGGGTTGGGGTAGGACAGATCGACAGGGTGGTGGGGGNACAAGGTGGGGGAATTCCAGATAGTAAAAAGTAACTGAGGAGGGGAAGGGCATATCAGTCAAGTTTATTTCCTCTTTTGTTTTCGTTGTCGCTGCGCTCTTTTGAAAAAAACAAAAAAACAAAAAAACGGCTTAAAACTGAAAACGGTTCTCTTGTGATGTAAAAGGTAGAAATGTGAGAGAAGGCTTTTATCCGTATTAAATTAAATTAATGTTTAAATTGCTCGAAGGGCTGTTAAAAATGGGGTAATATCGGAGAATGGGGGATTAAGGAAAAAAGAACGTGAATTGTTAAGAATGGTAAGATTAAGGCGAATTGCGAACCACAAAGTCCATAAATTTAGTCAAAAGTTTGCAAGGAACGCCAATTGTGACTTGAGTTTCACATAGTGATTTCTGGTTTCACTGACATTTTGCTTTCTTGTTTATTTTCTTGCAGGTGGTGTCTGTAAGTATCTCTCTTTAATTCTGTTGAACTGCATTGTGTTGTCAAAGCCGTGTTAGTAAATTACTTGTTTAGTTCTACATGGTATGGTTACCTCAGTCTTGACAGTTCTTTCTCTCTTTTTAGCCTACTTTGGTGCAACATGTAATAGTTTTGTTCACGTGGTTATGTACGCTTATTATGGTCTGTCTGCGATTGGTCCCCAAATGAGGCCTTACCTGTGGTGGAAGCGATACATCACTAAGCTTCAACTGGTAAGATCAGTTGTTACAATATTGCGCTTGCAACACAACGGTAGGCTAAGTAATGAGGTGTTATATCTCTTCACGCGCTTTTTGTATTCCTCGCTCGAGAGAAGGCTGGTTCGAGCCAAAAAGTGTAAGAATGATGACGTAGCTCCTCAGAGAACCATGCATTGTCTCTGATTGGTCATTACTTGCGCGCGAAATTTGGTAACCGAGCAACAGCCGATCACAGACAGAGCTCAGTTATCGGAGGAAGAACCGGGCGTTTAAACTGAGGAGACATCTTTTTGCTTAGCTTAGTAGCTGATGTAGCATTTAGTTGTTTTAACGTGTCTTTGACTACCCGGCAAGGGCTGACTGTATATATGCATGTGTGTATGTAAAACGGAACGTGACAAAATTGAACGGAGTAAATGGGAAGATGAGATAACACGAAGCTGACAAAGAGGTCAGTTGGATCTGAGAGGAATTCAGTCTTGTCGTTTACTTTCCAGCCATGTAGGCGGAGAATGTTTCGTCTTTGGAAACAACTGTTGCCTGCAAATACAGAGGGATTTTTGCCTGTTATTTCGAACCTAGAGAAACGACAGAAATCTACCTGTATTTGCAGACATTTTTATCCCTCGCTTTCTTTCTTATCTTAGCTTTATTTTTTACAGTAAAGTGTGTTTTTGACCTCCGTAATTAATTACTGAATGTCGCTAACTAATCGCTTGAGTGGAGAAACCCTATGGCTGTATACAAAAAAGGCTTGAGGAAGAATCGTGGATCAAATACAAAGAAAAACTACTTATTAAAAACCTAAACCTAACATGTAACGATTGTGAAGTCATTAATAAAGCTATGTATGCTTTTGCTTGTTGCCTCTTGTTAAATATTTCCTAATGATAAAGATGATGACTAACTGTATTGCGTAATATCATTGACGCTTAATACACAACTGCTGTGTGATGTTAAACGACTTAACCAATGACAAATTAACTAAATTCATCAGATATGGTATACTGAAAATCTTTTTAAACAAACTGTTCTCTTTGTTACCCTTTAAGCTGGGATGCATGGGTGGGTAGCGGAATTTCAAGATGCATTACATGAATTACCTGCATTTACGTAGTTTGTTTTACGATGGAATCTGTTAAAGAAACGTTTCGGTTAGGTCAGGGTGATAGCAAGCTAGAGTCAGTTTGTACTTAGTGCAAAAGAGGCGGCGTGAAATCTGTGGTCGAAAACTAAACATGAACTTGAGTATGCCTTTGAAATCATGTGATCTAGTGATTTATGTACAATGTAACGAGCATAGAATGTGATCAAGAGTCGTTTTCTCGTAAGCTGTTGATATATTTTAAAGTCATATGAAAAGATAATTAGCAGCATAGTGTCGTTGTGAAGCTGTTTTATCAAAAGGATACGTTCTATGAATTTGTTACTGGTATTCATTTGTTTGCTCTACAACTGGTTCAAACCAAGTCACTTAACATGTGGTCTTGATAATCAAGACATTGGTCAGCATTCACGTAATATGCAAATATTTCAATAGTCTTAGTCAATGAACTTTTAAACTCGTCAATCTTTGGTTACTCTACATGCGGTCAATTCAGTTCTTTGCTCGCTAAAAGCAGTTATTAATTCTCTTTATCAAGTAGCCTGTATTATGGCGTGGCTACAGAGGAGGGATGGGATTCGAGCCCACGGGTTAAATCTCGCGCTTAGTATAGGTCACGTAGCTTTTACCTCAAGTTCTCATTGGTTTGCTGTGATGTTTTGAATCATTGGTATATCTTTTATGTGTCGGTCTTAACTTAACTGTTCAAGTTAATATCAAGCTAAAAATCATCGAAGGTGAAGCAGAGTCTATATGACATGATGATATAATATGATTATGATTACAGGGTATAACATTCTGTGTTATTTTTCCGTACGAGGATAAAATTGTCTCATATCTAATTCTGAAGTTGGTACAAGGTATAACTTCAATACGATTAAGTGAACTCTTTCAAAACTAAACTTAATTATGTCTTTAAAAGAAAAACTGCCTGTGGTAAACGTCTGTGATATGAGTTCATCATCGTTTGACTTGTTTCCAAATTGTTTAATAGATGAGCCTGTGGTTGATGTGAATGATTAAAGTGCTGGTTGCACGTTGTTAACCATAAAAAGCTTAATACTATCAAACTCATTAATGCAGAGAATTGCTAGAACTCCAAATTTTGAGGCTACTCAACTTTGGGTAATGGCTTGACTAAGCTTCTTCATCCAAGAGGTTAACAACGAAATGGTCACTGCTTGAATATTTGATACTTTCTTCCTTCACACGATAATGTTCCCCTTTGTTTCGGCCTGTCTTTTGGAATTGAGGGGGACGGTTAGCCTCAGCCTATACAGAGGCTAGGACATTAACTTCTCTGCTAGGCTTGTCTGATTATTACTTCTTGGTTTCTGTTAACATGAAAGAGAAGCATTGAATGTGGCACTACCTCGTAATTCCACTCTTATTTTTAAAAAAACTAATCATTTGCCTTCGCTGTTTTGTTAATCATATGATTTCCAATAACCTTTACCCAGCGATTTTAGCACAGAACACTTTCAATCGTTTGCAAAGCGCTCTTTTTAGAATTAAACTTGTGTTTAATTCTGAGCAAGACACCTTTATGCGGTGTTGCGAGTTGAATTCTGTGTTGTGATGGCCATTTTTTCTCTACTTTTGTTTTCTAGACGCAATTTGCTGTGATAACTATATCTGGTATCGCTGCCATACTGAACCACGATTGCAAATATCCCTACTGGGCAAAATGGGTCATGCTTTGCTATACTCTTATTATGATGGCGCTGTTCACCAACTTTTACATTAAAACTTATCTGCAAAAGGGGAAAGGCAAAGAGCACGGCAAAAAGGAATCGTAGAGGACTGCTGAACAGGAAGCATGGAATGGACTCTAACACGACATAAATGCATTGGGAACTAAATTGGCTATCAGTGTAATATGGAGATTTATGGACTTTTCAGAATTAGCTATAAAAATTGTAAAGGACTAGCAGAGTTGAAAACTTTGCGTATTTAACAACGAAATTATACGAGAAATTGAGAAATGGACTTCATACTTTTTAACATTAATCGACTGTCGTTTTGTGAAATTGACAAAAAAAAGTGATATTTATCGGGCAAACGGATGTTTCAGAGGTCACCCTTGTCTAGGCTGTTATTTATCTGTACTAATGTAAATGGGGGAGAAGTTTTTACTACGCCTTTTGCTATATCAAAGTATATAATAATGCTATGGTGAAGAAATCTGCCTCTGTAAACTGATATTTTTCTAATCTGAATGAAAATTTTATACCCTTTCATTTATGTGTTGCGATGTACATAATTAAGGTTCTTTTACGTTAAGATGGATTGTTACAGAAAGTTTTGGGAGCCTTTTTTATGACAAGGCTTCAACTCGTACGGTTTTCATTTTTTTTTTTTT